TACCGATTATTCGCTTCGGGGCCGAATAGGGGACCTAATAACTATTCGGTATTCGGCCGAATACTTGCGGTCGGGCAGAATACGAATAGTGGTCACCTTACTCCCGTTTCTGCATACACTGCGATGGACTGAAATGCCTCTCTCATTAACACAGTAGTTGCTGTTGCCTAAGTCTGTCGTAGCGGGGGAAACAGTCATCTGGTTGCGTGGTACAGCAGCTGGCAAGGCCTTTGCCTGCTGACTCGACCGAAGCATTACAGCAAAGGTTCTCAAACTGGGTGCGTATGCCAGGGTTGCCGAGGCGAAAATTAAGAAAAGTCGGATATATATTGTAAAATTATTAAAGAAGGCATGAAGATACTTAAAAGTTAAAATTTAAATTGTCTTTCCTCACCACGGTCGAAAAGAGTTTGTTTTCCTTGTTTCACACTCAAAGTGCATCATACTGCATAAAATGCCAACCGCAGCGTGTTAAACATTGTCTTTGTATTTATCTCGAGGTGCGACCAATCCTTCATCTGTATTCGTGAAGGTGCCGCGGATAAGAAAGGTTGTGATTATATTTTGGCTGAAATTTTAAAGTGGAAAATGTGGTTTGTACAATAGTAGCTGTTAGCCTTGTCAAGTAAGCACTTATATTTAAAGGCAGTGCGTTCTTTTTTGTTGCTCGTGTGTGTGTTTGTGTGTGTGTGTGTCTGTGTGTGTGTGGTGTGTGTAAGAGAGAGAGAGAGAGAGAGAGAGAGAGAGAGAGAGAGAGAGAGAGAGAGAGAGAGAGAGAGAGAGAGAGAGAGAGAGAGAATTCATTTTTTCGTTCTTTCAGGGTGTCTTTGCCCAAATCAAATTTGAAGATATTGCTAACGAGAATATAAAGGTGCGTATAAATTACATCGAACGAACGGCCGAGCGAACGATGATTTAAATGCGAATTCCTGTTTGGCTTTGTTTCGGTTGGGAACCAACAGGCACCGGAAGGACAATACGTAAACTGGCATAGAAATGTTCCTAACGGCTGTCTGGTTCCGTCCAAATTAAAGAGTCATCTGATATGCAATGATTCTGATTATATACATGAAGGTTAAGAAATCTTTGAACGCCGCGCTATATCTCTTCAGGGAGGGTCATCCATGATGGAGAGAATATCTAAAAAATGAAAATAAAAAGGATATAATGTCAAATTAATCCAAACACTTTCATCAGTCTCATTAAAGACAACTGAACATAAAATCAGCACCGTTTTTTTAATTTTTATTTTTATTCTTGAGGCCTCAGAGATGTGGTTTTACAGATCAATGACTAAAATACCTTGGACACACACACACACAAAAAAAGTAACCAAAAGGTTTTGAAAGAGGCGGTACCCCGAAGACAACTAGTCACAAACATCAGAAGGAGACAGTCATAATTTTCGGCCATGTTATATGAAGAGGGAAAATGGAACATGTGGTGACCACTGGAAAGATCTGTGAGGGATAGAGGAGGACAACAAGAGAAGATTCTTGGAAGTCTTGTTGCATGGCATGGAGGTGTGTCAACACACGAACTAATACATGATGCAGGAGATCGCAGACATAGTGAGGCATAATCGCCCACGCCAGTCGGCAAGGAACCTGATAATGATGATACACAATTCGTATTTGTATTCGGCCGAATAGTTTTTCCCGCTATTCGTATTTGACTGAATAGTGAAAATCACTATTCGGTACAGCCCTAATTTATATATATGTGTATATATATATATATATATGTGTGTGTGTGTGTGTGTGTGTGTGTTTGTGTGTGTGTGTGTGTGTGTGTGTGTGTGTGGCCATAAAGTAGAACATTATATACAACAATGAGAAAGAGACAAAGTTCTTTAGTCATGTGATGAGAAAAGGAGCACTGAAAAATATCGTAACAACTGGAAAGATCACTGGTAGATGAGTCAGAGGCAGTCTGAGAGAAATGATGGTGGATGGCCTAAGACAATAGTATGGATGAATATCATCAGTGGAATTGATCCAGAACACCAAAGACCGAGCTCTGTGGAGATGCATGAATGCCTACGCCTGCTGGCAAGGCACTTAGTGGTGATGAGCCCTATATCCTGGTTACGCTTGAAGACATGGAACTCATAGAGTTTATGTTATTTAAAATACCCATATTATTATATTTATTTTACATTCAAATTATTCAAAATTATTATTATGGCATGTTTAAACAAGGTTTAAGCCCCTAGAGCTACATAATAAGAAGTAGCTCCACAGGGGAGCATGTACAGCAGGAGTCTATCAAGCATCAGTAGAAGTGATCACTCGACAACAAATGTTTCGGCCCACGAGCTCCTAGACAATCTCAGAGGGTGGGCCCATCTGAGTTCATAAAGCTCAGGCTTGATCTGCTCCTGCTGCACGTATTACCGGATGTTCTAGGACAGGGACAAGACGAAATTGGTGACTCTGCAACAGATACTGTGAGGTTCGAGGACTATTTATAGTCGCTGCGGTAGACTATTAGATTAGTCGGCGTACGTGGGCGACCAAGTGGCAAGCTTACGGTTGGTTTTTCGGACACATGTTAGACTTTACTAGCAAATGGCAGAGGGACACTGGCAGACTATTCGGACATGATGAAATTTTAAGGGATAAGACTCCTTATTTCGACTAAATATCTGGACCAGCTCACCGAGGCGCGTCTCCTACGACGTTTCGTTGTGTCCAGAGCCAGCTCGAGGCCCTTTCAGCGGCCTCGCCCAGTTATTTTATCGATCGTTTGCGCTCGTTTCTTCGCATGTCCAATTGTTTCATCACATTGTACCTAGAAGTGGAAACGAGACCTCTTGCGACTGCTTCGACGGCGAAGATTTTTACTGTGTATGCTTCATGTCTTCTCAGACCAGCCAAGAGGTCACTGTATTTCTCGAGCTTATACGCATGACTCTCGTCCATTCGCGACTTATACGGCACGGTCAGCTCGATCAGGATGAGCTGACGTTTCTCCGCAGTGTGTAGAACTATGTCGGGTCGCAGGCCGGTCTTCTGGATTAACTCTGGGTACTTTTCGTGACCAGGCAGGTCAACCGCCAGTAGCCAATGCCTCGCACAGTCAAGCATCGATGGAGCATTTGCGACCTTGTTGAAGTTACCTTTATAAATCTGCCCAGCCTTGAGGAAGCGCACGGGGACAACAGTAGGACTGGCCCTCGCATTGGCCTTCATCCTAGCTTGGTCCACAACGGCCGCTAACGATTTCAGTACCTTGTTGTGGCGCCAAGTGTATCTACCCTGAACTAGTGCTTTTCTGCACGCGGACAATAAGTGCTCGAGCGTCTGCCTAGCTCTACAAAGAGGGCATGTCGGGTCGTTAGTCGCACTCCACTTGACCATGTTGACACCGGAATGTAACACATCGTAGGCAGATCGTACGATAAAGCTCAGTCGCAGCGGGGCCATTCGCCAGATCTCACCCCATGTGAGTACTCGTGGCAAGGCGCTCTCGAGGCCGATCCACTGGCCTTGCTGCGACTGTTGCGCGGTTTTTGGACCCGAACCTCGTTTTCGGTGTCTGCTGTATTACCATACCTCCCAGCTCTTTGAGCCACTAGCAAATACACCGGATTTGTACTTGTATTTTCACAAATGGTGTCTACAGGCGAGAGAGCCGTTTTTATTGTTTCAGGTATTTGTCTCACAGGCGGCATCTTTGGCTAAAGCGTTGCCAACGCGCCTCATACAGCCGTGGCATCAGGTTTGATACCAGCTGCAGGCAATTTGGCAGGAGAACGCCTGGTGTTGGCTTCGACTGTAATGTCGAGAACCGACCTTGCAGTAATCAAATGGCAAACACGCTTTCAGGTGTGTTGGGCACATTAGGCTACACCTTTATTTTACAAACCAATCTTCACAACATCATACTGTACCAAGTGGCCGAGCGGGCCCTGGCTCGGCTACATATCCTCGGTTAGACTGCAACGGCTAGCGGCACATATAATATAGTGACAAAAGGCGGGATAAGAAAGACGTGATATGTGTCTCAGCACTGGTATATGACCATGGAGATCTGCAAGGATTACTTGCTACACCATGAGGTGTATTTGGGCGCATAGGGCTAGAGCTATGAGGTATAGACCAATCAGCACTCGGTGGGTGATATGTTCAACATCACGCCGGCCGCCTTTACTTCAGAGGACTTTACCTGGTACCCAATTTAACTGTTTGAGTTCCAAGAAACGCATCATACTTTTTAAGTCTCCGTCTAGGTCCCCAACGGGTCTCTGATGATAAACCTCCTGGATTCAAAGAGTTAAGGCTAGGTCCACCTGGAAGCCGGTGTCAATTTGAAAAATGCCAGGGCTCCGACAGGAGCTGAACCCACGACCTTCAGATTCGCTGGCGAGCGTTTAGCCGCTACACCTCGGTGTCTCGCCGTGGAGGTAGTTAGCATCCTTTGGATATTTTCTTCAGGTGATGCCGGTGTGTTGGGAAATGAGCAGTCAGATAGACTAGCCGGTTCAGGACCACTTGGTAGTGAACTGATGTATGACAAGCTGGATGCTGTGAAGGCCCTTTGGGAGCGATTGAACAGTGCAGAGGCACAGATAGATCATTACGGTCTGAGAATAATGGCGTTGTGAGGAGTTACAAAGGATTTGGCCGACGCTTGACGATCAGGGGAAAGGCGAGACGGATATACAATCAGTAAACTGGTACCATCGGAATTGGAACTCTTCGCTTGCTGCTGAAGATGTAAACGGAAGGCTTATGTGGGTGTCCCGAGTGCTGTAATGTCGATTCCTAATTCAACACTTCTCCAGGAGATTTAAGTGTCATTAACACACACAAATTGAGAGATGCCAATTTCAGCGTCCTTACAATTGGGGGAGAGGGGGTGGTGAGGGCGACCCAAGTTGCTTCAGCCCCCAGGTTCAAGCCCTTTTGTGTACTGTGCCCTACGCCCTGCCCACATGCCATACTGTCTCACCTGGTGTTCTCTGTCTTCCTTTGTAGGATTTGTTAGGATGAAAGATGGCGAGGCAGCTTTGTCGTTGTGGCAGCATCAACTTGCTTGTGTTCCTGCTGGTGATCTTGTTCGGCGTCTCCTCCTGGGTGGACATCAACGGACTTTGGGTGGAGCTGCCAGTCCTTGTGCAGCATCTGCCTGAAGGATGGGATCTACCTTCCTACATGTCCGTCATTATTCAGGTTTGTCGTTGTCGGTTTTTTAGTTGTTTAATCAGACACTTTGTTGTAGCAGTCTGTTGAGTCTTAAACAGGTAACAAGTCAGTCAACCAGTAATTCACTTGATCAGTAAGTCAATTAGTCAGGTAGTCAGCCCGTTCTTCTTCTTCTTCTGTTTCTTCTTCTTCTTCTTCTTCTTCTTCTTCTTCTTCTTCTTCTTCTTCTTCTTCTTCTTCTTCTTCTTCTTCTTCTTCTTCTTCTTCTTCTTCTTCTTCTTCTTCTTCTTCTTTTTCTTCTTTTTCTTCTTCTTCTTCCTCTTCTCCTTCTCATCCTCCTCCTCCTTCTTATCCTCCTTCTTCTTCTTCTTCTTCTTCTTCTTCTTCTTCTTCTTCTTCTTCTTCTTCTTCTTCTTCTTCTTCTTCTTCTTCTTCTTCTTCTTCTTCTTCTTCTTCTCCTCCTCCTCCTCCTCCTCCTCCTACACCGCTTCGGGTTTCGAGGGAGATAAAAGGTTCCGCATCTAGCTCTCCTGATCGCCCCTGATCATAGACAAGTCTTTCCATCTTAATCTTGGTATACCTTGTGCTGTGTCTCCTTCTAATTTTTTTGCGTGGATCTTGTCTTGTATGGCTTCACCGGGTATTATCTCCCGGTGGGCAAACCATTTGATTTGCTGTCTTTGTGTGTAATTCGAAGTGGTCCACCTGTAAATTATAAAGCACATCGGCAACTTTGAACCTCTTTCAACTACCGTAAAAAGGTGAAGAAAGCAATGGTATGGACATGTAATAAGATCTAACGGCCTCTCAACAAACAATACTGCAGGGCTCAGTAGAGGGAAAAGGAGAAGAGGCAGACCAAGAAAGACCTGGTTACATAACCTGACTGACTGGACACACCTCAGGCATGCAACTATGAAGTCCATCGCAACTGACCGCCAAAGGTGGAGATAGATTATCAGACAATCAACCGAAACTGGTGACTCAACGACACGTAGTGTTACTGAATGATGATGATTATGAGGTGTAATTTACAACCGGTTTGGTGCCGACTTTTTGTCTTATAACCTCTTTCCTAATGTTGTCTCATCTGGTCACTCCTGCCGCCCTACTCATACATCTCATTTCCATGGTTACTAATTTAGTCATGCAGTGAAAAGGTCAACTATAATTAACTAATTACACATGTCAGTAAATAAATAATCGATTACAAAAGTAAGAAGTGATTAAAAAAGTAATTACTCCCGTGTGAGTTCCGTGGGGGGAGTCGCCGTGGCAGAGCGGCTAGACGCGCGCCGCGGATCGGAAGGTCGTGGATTCGCTCCCTGGTGGAGACGGACTTTTCTTCAAAAATGACCTTGGCTCCCAGGTCGACCCAGCCTTGAGTGGGTACCGGGTGCAATCCCGGGAAGTAGAGGCGGCCGGCGTGATGCTGACCACATCACCCATCTTGTGCCGTTGGTCTATAAAATATAGGTCTAGCCCTATATGCCCTATACGCCTAAAAGCGTGGAAAGGGTCCTTTACTTTTTACTTTTACTGAGTTCCGTAGGCCTATTTGAATTTTGTAAAAGGTAAAAGGTAAACGCGTTAGCGCAGTCGATACGAAGCTCGCTTTCAAATCCAGCTGCGACTCGCTGCAGCCAAGGTCGATGTTCGAAACCGGGCGGCTCCCGTTGTTCACCCAGCCTCTAGGAAATAGGTACCAGAGTAAATGGAGGAACGTCGCTGTAGCTACAGAGTTACATGAGGACAGCGACACAGGTGGACAGTTTCCGTACTGGTGGCAGAGCACTTATGATTTACAACCGTGTGCAATGACGCTGGTTCACATCTCCCGACTTTACCTTTAGCTTAGATCAAGGGTTTGTTGAAATCGAGTGCATTGGACCTAAAGGTGTGGATATCGCAGCATAGCTGTAAATGACATGACGCACTAAACGCATTTTTTAATGGCGAGGGCAGGGAAAGAAGAAATGATCAATTAAAATAAGTAGGTCATCAAGTAAGTAATCAATCGGACAAAAAGTAAATTATAAAGTACGTATGCAGATTGTTAGGTAAACAACTTTTTGCGTCAGTAATTAGATCATCGGGAAAGTCAGTAAGTAATTGAGTCAGTCAGTAATTATGTAATTAAGCAAGTTATTCAATAAACAGGTAAGTAATTAAGTCATAGTCATGATCGATTTTCTTTCTTTTTGCCGTTCAGGTTTGTCGTGGTTTGTGGGGGTGGGGGGGGGGGTCTGTTGTAATTAAACAACCGACCCCCAGTGTGTACCAGTACCATCAGTTTTTGAACTTTGTGCTAGCTGCTGATGATGAGGACGGAGCTTGCATGGGAATGCCCTGAGTGCTGTGACATCATTTCTGGACTCAACTCAACTCAACCCAAATACCAGTAGGGTTTCAGGGGTTTCAGATAAAACAAGAATAGACCTGCTTTCCCCCTTACAAAACAAGAATATAACTACTGTCCCCCTTACAAAACAAAAAATAGACCTACTGTCCTCCTTACAAAACAATATTTGACCTACTGTCCCCCCAAAAAAACAAGAATAGACCTACTGTCCCCCTCACAAAACAAGAATGAACCTACTGTCCCCCTTACAAAACAAGAATAGACCTACTGTCCCACTTACAAAACAAAATTAGACTTATTGTCCCCTTTATAAAGCAATATTAGACCTACTATCCCCCTTCTAAAACAAGATTAGACCTACTGTCCCATTACAAGCATGTGGTAAATGTCGATGCAGTTATATTTGTGATCTGGTTTATTTATGCTAAGTGTAGTGGCTGAGATTGGGTAATATGTACCAGGCTGTCCCTGACCAGATAGATTTCTCACTTCTACTTGTCTGGGTCCCATTGCGACCCTTGTCGTCCTGATGGTTTTGCCTCCATTGTATTGATTGTGATAGGTATACAGGTGTTATCTTGTGTTCGGTTGAGTCTCCTTAATGTATTGTGTCCGTGTGTCCTATTGTGTGGTCCCGAGTCTGCTGCCTCGTATTACTTATAATCTTTGCTGCTCATAGAATGTAGCTCGCAAGAGTTAGCACTATCATAACTCACTGAACCGCTTTTTTGTCCTTGTCTCACTGAGACCAGGTTGTAGCTCAGTGTCGCTGTTTTCTGTATTAGTCTTGCGCTTCTCGATTGGCTTGGGTGATGAATTTATTCATCCTTTTGCATGTTTCAACTACACTATTTATCCATCTCTTTCTTGGTCTTCCTCTCGCCATCCTCCCAGATGTTCTGCTGTAAAAAGTCTCATTTGCAGTTTGGCCTGGCTTCATTCTCACTAGATGGCCGAATAATTTCATTCTTTGTCTGTCAATATAATCCAGACATGGTCTTTTCCACTTTTCTCTCTAATGCTGGTATTCATAACCCTGTCTCGTCTGGTGTTGTTAGTGTTCTTGCGGAGACAGCGCAATTTTCATGTGGTTATTTTCTGATCTAGTACCCGATTCAAAGTCCATATTTGGCACTGATAACATAAAGTAGGGATAAAGATACAACCAATCATTTGCTATCTGGCTGGAAGAGCGACATTTGGGTCTCTAAACAGTGGAACTAAGTGGTAGGGGACGGCATTTGCCTTCTGTACTGTGGCTTCCATCTCTCTGTCGAGTCTGCCATTCTCCGCTACGCCCGCACCCCCCCCCCCCCCCCATTTATTGTTTTGCAGTTTTGAATATTTCAAGGGCCAAAAGTACTGAAATCAGTTTTGGTTTTGGATGTATCCGGAAAGGTGCTTTATTAATATCCTACCCCCAGGGAACGTCACAAGGCAGTCCAACATTTTAGAGGGTGGTTAGACCGGGTTTCCTGGCTTTCTGCTGATATTAACCACCCCAGAACATCTCAAACTGGCCCTAACCCCAACCCATCTATGTCCCACGTGAGAGAGAGAGAGAGAGAGAGAGAGAGAGAGAGAGAGAGAGAGAGAGAGAGAGAGAGAGAGAGAGAGAGAGAGAGAGAGAGAGAGAGAGAGAGAGAGAGAGAGAGAGAGAGAGAGAGAGAGAGAGAGAGAGAGAGAGAGAGAGAGAGAGAGAGAGAGAGAGAGAGAGAGTTCAGCCTAGGTCATACGACTACATGCAGTCTAGGTCCCACGACTGCATGCAGCTTATCTACCACTCCCTGAAATATTAGACTGTCCCGTGACCTGTGGACTTCCCCTATTTGGGGTAGGATATTAATAAAACACCCGACATGTTTACTATTTTCTTTACAGGTAGCAAATATAGCGCCCCTAATCTACACAATCTCAAGTACAGTATGGCCGCACAGAATGCTGGAAGTTCCGGTCATCTACGTGATCATCTCCCTTGGATGTGTATCTTGCCTGCTGCTGGCGTTTGTTTGGGATGTCACCTCATCGATTGCCGGCGTCGAACACAGCACCGCTTTGTTTGTCCTGCAGTTCTGCCTAGCCCTTGTTGACTGTACATCTTCCGTCGCCTTCCTGCCCTTTATGTCGGCGTTTAAAACTCAGTACATGACGGCATATTTCATTGGAGAAGGGTTTAGTGGACTGATTCCCAGCTTGGTTGCTCTGGTACAAGGCGCCGGAAGTATGAAATGCGTAAAGATCGCCCATTTTCAAAATCAATCCGCGGGAAATGAAACAGAACATGACATGCATATTTCAAAATTCGTGAACGGGACTATTGTTTTTAATAACAGTTCAGAATTTCGGGAATATTCAATGTCGAACTCGAACAAATCAGAGTTTGGTTTAAGTACAAGTGTTTTTCCCGTGTATCAAGAGCCAAGGTTTAGCGTTCAGGTGTTTTTCTTACTACTTATGGTTTTATTAATCGTCAGTTTATTATCCTTCA